AGGGCCATCAGCTGCTCCAGGATCACGGGGATGGCCACCGCCGCCACCCCAGCGCTGGATCCCACCGCGCCTGCAGCCCTCGCGTTCTGGGAGAACTGCGCCACGGCCACCTTGGTGCTCAGCAGCGTCTCCAGCGTCACGTTGGTGTTTGGCATGCTGTACGCGGCCGCGGGGGCCGGTTCCGCGATCTGAGGTAGAGGCGGCTTCCCTGCGTGCGAGGGGCCTGGGCTCTGGAAGCTTCTGTCTGAGGAGGGTCCCACCTCCATGGGCTCGTCCTCCCTCTCGGGGGCCCTCACCTCCCCGCCCTCCCGCCTTCCGCGGGGGCTGCCTCCTCGGCAGCCTCGCTCTCCGTCTGCTCGCTGGGAGAGCTGGCCGGAGAAGGTTCCGGAAAGTCCTCGGAGGGCGGGGCCGGCCCATCTTCGCGCACGATCAGCACCGGCGGGTTCTTGGTGCAGGCCTTCTTGTGCTCCAGGAAGTCCGTCCACTTGAAGAACTCGGCGCAGCACTTCTCGCAGACGCTGGTGTCCTCGCCGCCGCTCCTGCTCTCGGCGCCGCTGTCCGCGTCCTCGGCGCCCTCCCCGGGGACGGCTGGAGAAAGCAAGACATTACATCAGCCCCGCGCTCGCGAGACAGCCCGCCCTCCACGTCAAAATTTTGCACATAAGTAAAATCAATATTTTTTATTTTGTACAAATTACCCCACTTCAACACTTCTGACGTCCCGGCGTGTGTGTCCTATGACTCTTTCTAGCTAGCTAATCATTTTCTTAGCACAATCCATCAAATTATGAGGCTCCATCAATTGTGGATACTGCTTCTTAATGAAATTCCATAGAAGCCATTGATTTCCAATATTTTCATACAATCTGCAGCCGCCCTGTCTGGTGGGTACAAAGCCAGCTTTCGACGGGCTCATTAGGATTCCCCCTCCATCGGGCTTCCTCATTTCCAGCAAAATTAGAGATGCCTTTGCCAGTTCACTTAACATCGCTAAACTAATCTGTAACCTTTCAGACTCACGTCAGCACCTGCTGGGGGAGCCGGCCGCGGCCACCCGCACGGGCTGGGGCCTCGGAGATTTATTCTCTTTACGCAGCGCGGAGACGCTACAGATTAAATGCAACTCTCCAGAACCTTTCAAATCAACTGGCATTTATTTCATGTAGGAAATTTCAGCTAAATACTTCCATTTGCAAATATAACAAAGACTGTAGACGCACTTCCTACATTTCTGCTCAGAAAAACCATCTCCCGGACTCGGAGTTCGAGCAACAAATCAATCCTGCATCTTCTCACTGCCGCGCCTTCCTGCAGACAGGGCGCACCGCTACGTTTCAGGATTTGCCCGATGAATACCATCAATATAGTCTGGGCCTAAAATTAATCATGTTTAATACAATTAATTGGCTCTGTCAGATGCAATATTTCTTGGCAAAATGAACCAAAATTATATGTTAGTGTTACCAGCCAATCGTGTTCTGCAGATTGTTAACAAACTAGAAATTATATATTTAAAGCTCATTTATGTTGACATGTTTAACATGAGAACGTTGTAGTCAGGCACTTTTTGTACCTATTTTCATCTGTTCTCATAGAAAGACTTAGCAAATTACATGCTTGTACCATAGTGGAAAACCCTCTAATTGGTTACACATGTTTAATTACTGTTGTAGGCAGCGACTTCCTCTCTCCCTTACCCTCTTGTGCCGAATAACAACCACGTTTAATGAACAATTCTAATTCACACCTGATCAAATAAATGGCGATACAAGAACGAGCAACGAACATACGATAACATTTCTAGCTCCTGCTTCTCTGGAAGCCGGGGTGACAGGCAGTGCTCCGAGTGCTGGCTGGACAGCACGGACCTGCAACTGCTTCTTGTCAACTTGCAGATGGAGCGACGGCCATGGATCTGCCTGAACAGAGATGAATGACAGCTGGAAACCAGCTCTTTGTAGCCGTGCATGGTTGAGGGTAAGAGCCACACACCCTCAGCTCTGCGTCCCCGGAAATCCTTTACCGTTAACACACCAACAAATGGATTTGCTGAGCAGCCTCTGTGTTTCCTCTTTTAGGGTTTTAGGAAAAGAGTAATTCGGCCCTGATGTCAGTAGAGAAATCTGACTTTTAAAAAATATCCTGTGAAAAATATTTAGTCCCTCCACTGGAAAAGAAAACAGAAATCTTTTTCTAGGCTAGCTGGCTGTTCTCCGTGAGGCCGTCCTTTCCAGGTAATTTACACAGGCCTTTGAAAAATTATTTGCAGAGTTCAATTAGCATTTTCGTAACTGGCTAAACCATTTGAAGGGGAAAGAAGTTAGAGCTTGCATCCCATAAAGATCTGCTAGACTTTTAAACTAAATTCAGTGCTGAAGATCAGACTGCAAGAAGTCTCATTACTGTATGCAGGGAGGGGTGTAATAGGTGTCTGTAATGAGGTTGACTATAGCTGGGAGCAAAGACGCAGCTGATTCATGCTGCAGATAGGAGCATTAACGAAATAAATACTCGGAGTACTTAACTTTGCTCAGTGTATGCAAAACCTAATCTTAAACCTGCTAAGGTTATGCAACAGGGCAGGAGAAAACCCCTAAAACCTTCAGGCAAATAATTTATTAATGACTGATAAGAAATACGGGCTTTCTCAAATTCTAGTTACGTATTTTAAAAACTATCACACGATGCAAAGAATCTCTACTTTTAAATTTCTTTGTAATAGTGGAACATTCTTTTGCAGACCCACATGTTTGAAAAAGCTTAAGTGGCCATTAAAAAAAAGTTCATTTGCTTTAAGCAATCGGGCTGGAATCAATGCTATACTACATTATAACTAGTATAATTATAACTAAACACAGAATATTCTAAAAGTTCTTTTTTTTTTTAATACTTTAAGGGTATGATATAGAAGGCCTGCCATAATCTTCAGAGATTTTTAATTTTAATGCTTCCCAAAAAGAAAAAATACCAAGGAATCAAATATTGCCAATTTCTTAAAGTATTATCTACCTTTAACACCTTAGAGAAGGTAAAAGGTATAACTCAAATGGCATACAAAAAGCACTCACGTGATATATACAGTTATAATTTTATACAATTAAACAGTGTATCTCTTATCCAAAGAATGCTTTTTCTTCACATGGAATATATGGTAGGGACAATTCACTGTGAAAATGCCTAAAAGTTAGGCTAATTTCTGGATCTTTTAAAGTGTGGTCAGTGATGGAAGAATTATCTTACTTAACTGTGAATAAATTTTATCTTTACAAATGAACATTTCACAGATTTTCTTTGTAACAGCTATGGCATGTGCGAGGAAAATACTTTTATTTTACACTATCCTTTTGTCAAAGGTCTTAAGCAACCCAAACAAATCTCTATTTACTCTAAAGACACGTTTTTACATTTACATTGGTTTTTTCATGTGTTAAGTATTTGGGGTTCACCTCCAAATCCATGGAAGTTGGGAAATGTCCCCACAGGTGACTTCCTCCTTCTCCCCCAGGCAGGTTTGCAAAATTACAACTGCTTCTCAATTTGTTTCTCAAAGCTGCATAGAATATTTAAGCACTTTCTACCAAATAATAAGTCATTTTGTTTAGTGCAATGGTAATAAATAATTACCTAAACATAATGAAGATATTCTTGTCAAAGTGAAATAAACTTCCACTTGCATTTCTCTAAAACTGAAGAAGGAAAGTAAAATTGAAGAGAGGAAATTGGATAAAAATGGCATTCTGACCATTGGGACCTGTTAGCTCATTATGTTAACGAGCCTAACAAAACAGACAATTGTTGGATTTTATAAGCACAGTTTTATAATAATTTGCCTTTTGACTAAGTCATATTTTAAAAACTACAATTAGTGATGGAACACAATTCTTCAGTACAACTCGGATTTCTTAGCTGGGGCAAATAATTCAGAATCACCGACTGTAACTTTTCTCTTCGGGGTCTGCCTGAAATTCCTTAACTCGATCACTTCAGTGGTTATTTCCCCCGTCTCACTACCAACACCCGAGTGTGATTATCACGCCACAAGAGTTACAGAGAAGCACAAATTTCATAAGATAGTCTGAGCACAATGAATACAAATTTAAAACCTTGAATATTTCGTGTAAGGAACTGAAATTTGGGGTGCACATACAAGAGCGTTTTTGAACAACAAGCCCTTCAGCTGGGCTGGTTGCAGCAAAGACCCGAACGCGCCTGCTTCACTAGAGAGAGCCCTTCAGAGGCAGCGAGACAGCACTGAGCTGAGGGTGGAAGCAGCGACTCCTGCTGCCTTCAGGCCCGTGAGATGCGAAGTGAGTGATTACAACTCGCTTGGATGGCTGCTCTCCTGACAGCGGCCACACGTGTCATGCTACGGTGTGGACGTGCGAATCTGGATGTGTCTGTCTTCTAAAAAGTGTTTTCTACAGCAAGGAAACCCGCATGGGAAAAACGTGAAAGCAGCTGTTTTATATGGCTTCCAGGGCCCTTCACTCCTGCCACTGCTTTAAGCCGGGGTTATGTCGGATTCCACTGTGTTCAACTATCTTTTCATTAAATTTACATTTTAAACTGGCCTTTGCATTCTAAAAATAGAAGTTATTACATCCATTAGCTAATCCGGCTTCACAATTTTTGTTTCAAGGTAAAACCATGTCAATGAGCCACTGTAACAACGTACGAGGTTTGAGAAATTTATTTCCAATGCAATTGGAAATTCTTTCTTTCTTAAAGGGGGCACTGAAAAACAAGCATTATCAACAGTACCATTAATGTCAAAGTCATTTACTTTTTGCATACTGGCTGGGCCAGGACTAAGAGACTTCAAACTATGAACAGGCGGGGCGTATGGGGCACGAGGGTTATGTCGGACCTCGTGGGGAAAGATGCCAACCAGTTCATCCAGTGACAGAACCTAAGCGAGAGCCTTCCCTCCCTGGTTAACAGGAACGTCCGGTCAAGGTTCCTTTCTGAAAGTGCCGCGCGGATCTGCTGGATTCGGCGGGTATCAGTCTGAAGAAGCAGCTGTCATGGAAATAACTCAACTTTGCTAATTAACGTCAAACGCGTACCAGTGGTGGCTGCAAGCCGGGCATCTGTCTTCCCAAACGCCGTCAGGAGGGGAGGAAAGCAGAGGGGCTGGAAGATGGAGCTACTTCCGTATGCGAGGAAATGTGCAATTAGTCTGCAGCCATCCCCGCACTTACTGTTTATGCTTGAGATTTTCAGGGTTTCTAATTCTCTCACCGTTCGAACATTCTCAAGGGGCTGCAGGTTTCTCGGTGCCACAGGAGGGGCCCAGGTCCTGCGGCCTTTTAGAGAGGCCTCTAACCAAAGGCGAGCTTCAGCGTCAGTCTTCAAAGTACTTGTTTTTTTTTCTTTTTTTCTCCTTCTCACTAATAAAAATCACAGAGAATGTTTAACAAAAATGCTCCTATTCTTAGGATAAGGCTCTGGGTATGAAAGGACCCCCCCCATTTCACTTCTCTCTCTGCTCCAATTCTGGTCTGTGATCGATATTCACCTATCTCACGTCTTCATGGCCTGCAAAAGTATATGTGGGTGTCTTCGGCCTTGCAGGACATTTCCACTCACGAAGAGCTTTTTGAAGCTACAAGTGAAAAGCATCCTTGTAATCTCATAAGAATGTTTGAGACCCAATGCTTGCTGTAAAAATTTCAAACTGCAGTTCTCAGCAAGGCTTCCTTCACTCTCCCCTTCCAGGAGGCAGTGCCTTGTAAATAAGTAACCGATTACAAAGAATGGTAAACAGGGGTTCGATAATCCTGTTTATCAACCCCAAAAGCTCACCTTTGTTTGGCTACACTTCTGGTACATCTTTTTAATTCTTTACAATTAACAAAAGCAAAACTTGTTCCTTATGGGAAAAGGGATGTTAACTTCTCCACTTTAATTAGTAACTTTAAAAGGCCACGTGGGTCCTGAGGAAAGGAAAACGTACTTTCTCCCTCACCTCTTCCATCCCTTAAAAATCTAGGAAGCGGGTTTTTTTTTTTTCCTCCCAAGTTTTCCCAAATTGTTAGGAGACACTATTTTCTTGCAAATTAATTCTTTTTAACTCCTTATGATAGCTTTGAATCCCATAAAGAAAGATGAATTATCACATACTGGGCCCAAGCTGTGAAACAGGAGGAGACAAATAGAGACCCCCACTGTGTTTAACAATGTAGTAGGAATTCCAGACGCAACAGAAAAATCTTGTCCTCTTTCTAGACCTCCACGCGTGTGTGTTCGGAGCCGGACAGCGGAGGGCGCTCCTGCCCCGCTCAACGCCGCGCTGACCCGCAGGCTGGCTTCCGCCGACTCGGTGGCCCACATCTCAAATTTGTTAAGTAACGACCACCTGTGGCACAGTCACCAAACGTCTTCTGTCTCAGACATTCGCGGGTTCTCATCTGTGTGGTGAAGCACCAGGGAGGGAAAACACTGTTTCCTTTATGGACACGCGCAGATGGAAAGCAGCCACAGCATCCGCTTGTCTAACCATCCGCCCCGATGCTGCATCAAATAATAAGATGCTTGTTACACTTCAAGGTTGCACAACAGCCCTTTCATTTAGATGTTGTGCTGTAATCACGCTTACGATGTGTACGCATCTATCACTATCTGCGCCCAACGAAAAGCACGCAAACGCGAAGCGCGTCGGCCAACGCAGCTCCCATCAAAACCTGGGGAAGGGAACAAACCAGGTTTGTGCGGGACCACTTTCGGTTAAGATGTGGAAGTTTAAACGCAGACCTGACACGTGAAATTAAAGGTGCTGCCTCATGAAACGCCCACATGGAAGTGCCTGTGGTCCTACCTCCACACCAGCCACTTTTCAAATCCACTGTGAGTGAAAGTAAGTAAGCAAGCAAAGCCACTTAGAGCATCACCCCGGGTCTGAATGGCCCCGGAGCAGCACGAACCGCGTGGTGTCCAGGAACAAGGCTCCGATCCCCGGTAGCCGTCGGACTGCTTTGCCCCAGGGGTTGGGTTCCTAAATCATCTCCGTTATTTGTCACTACTTCGCCTCACCGTTCCATCACTGTGGGTGAGGTTTGCACATACACACAGAATCATCCAGGAAAAGCCCTGCCCTGGGTGGGTGAAGCCAGGGCTCTGCATGTGCGCAAGTTCTACGATCGAACGACCAAACAGTGCTGAGCGGAGGCTGCTCCCGGAGAGGACCAGGGACGCCGGCGAATCAAGACCAAGTGCCACGGCACCTGCAGGGCTAATTAAACAGTTCAAGATGTAACAGCCGCACAAAAGGGAACGGGTCTCTCTCCCTCTCTGAGGACGGCAAACACTTATGCTGAACGAGATAGATGGGCATTTGATAAATTGAGCAGCACCGAGCAAACTCCGAGGTCCCCAGTCCACGCGCAGCGTCAGCTTCAACACTTAACAGAACACTGTCTGGTCCTGTCGCCAAGGTCAACAGCACAGATGCACTAATTGTATTATGAGCTTGACATCTAGTGGCCGCCCTGGCAGGGCAGAGCAGGCAGAGGTTAAACCAGCAAGGCTGTCCCAGCACTGCAACCACCCACCTTCAGGGAGAGCAGGTGGAGCTCCCAGCACTCACCACCCCACCTTCTCAGCCCTCAGACCATAGGGCTGGGCGCTGAGTTGGCTGTGTTGGCCGAAGGCTTCCTGGGAACACGGAGGGGGAGGGGTCCTGGATGGTAAGCATCACTAATCTGGGGCGCCCGGGGAAGACAGGCCCACGGGGGCAGAGCTGGACACTGCACTGGCATCCTCGGATCTCTTCGGTGGACTGTGGTTCATTCTGAGAACAATTCCCTTTAATTAGCAAACAAATCAGTCCTCATCTCTAACACAAGTAGAGCCCGTTCCATTATCCTATTATTTCAATTAATACTTGACACTTTCTGTAGTGTGACTTGCCTTATCTGTGTGCTTGGGCATCACACAGACAGCTAGCTGCATTTTAGATCATCAGTGTGTCCAAACTGCAAGAGAAAAACCCAAGGACAGGGCTTTTTTAAAAATACTAAAGTTTATTTAAAGTTATAGGCAAACATTCAGTTTTTACACAGATTTCACGTATGTCTGATTTCCTATGAAGCGTGGCGCAAGTTCACACGTGCTGTAATTACAAACCTGTCCCACCAGTGGGGGAACTGGCTCACATCCTCCCGAGACTAAGATGCGCTGGTCAAGAAACCAGCAACTGGTCAAGAAACCATGCAGGAAAATGGAAACTAACAAAACAACAAACCCCTTCCAGTTAAAAGTATTATTTAAAAACTATGCTTCTTGAAACGATTTCTAGCATTAAAAGATGATGCATAATCTCATCAGTTAAGAAGCCTTTTATTTTACTTAAATAAAATACTTAACATTTAGGGATGCTTAACATTTAAGGATGCTGGCGTTCAGTACACAGAATGGAAACCTTGGTTGTACCCTTGCTGAATTCCCCCCTAAAGAAAATGTTCTTAGAGCTACGATGGGGTGAATGGCAAAGCCTCTTAGAGATTGTAGTTGGAAATGAAATCTGACCCACTTTTGCCTGCTTTTGCCATCATCGTGTATACAAAAAATAATCAGCTTGCTAAGTAATTCCTGCTGTGGGTCCATGCCTTCTCCTTTTGCTGGCCCTGGACAGATCTAAAAATATTGGATTATGCATACACTGTGGAAGTTTAAAATGTGTCTAAAAATCCTTTAACGGTTACATAATCAACTCTTTCTCTTAATTGGCCTGCTTTTTGTTGGCTACCAAATTCTGCATTTTTAAGTAGGTTAGCTTTTTAAATGTCATTTTGAAAATAAATGTCTGCAAATTCCTCTTTTCACCCCTCCCCCACCCCTGCTTAACTTACTCCTTACCTTTCATGTTTCACAGAGAACAATCTGCCTGCGGATGTTAGAAAGTGGCTTCTGTATTGTTTCCTTTTGGAATGCTGAATTGTAAGTGTGTGAGTGAGCGCGGGGAGCACTAAAGGCAAACCATGCACATACAGATAAAAGAAAAAAGGTCTCCTCACCCAGGGCTGGGGGCCTTCTCCCCCTTAATTTAAACACAGCCTATGAATGCCACTGGTAAATTCTTAAATCACAGGATCACCACATCTAAAAGGATTTTAGAGATAGCCATGTAACTGTAAGTTGGCAGAAAACAGAAACAAACAAAATACAGGGTAGCAAATTGCTTTAAATCACAATATCCTTTTGTAAAACCTTCCTTAAATCCATCTTTTCTAACAACAATAACAACATCTTCCTTAAGTTGTACTTCACCTGATAAAGGACAGCAATTATGTGCCTTTAAAGCTCTTCGTAGGAGTGTTAAGCAATGTCTGGTCATCAGAAGTTTTACTTAATTTTTCTTAGAACAGAAATATTCAGCTGGCTCACAGGATTTCATTCTTGGTGGCACACATTTAATTAACTGAATCCTAAGGCTGCATCCCATTTATTTTTAAATTTTCAGAAACAGGAAGGAAATAATTTTCAATTTTAAAAGATAGTGCCTATTGGGAATTAAGTTCAGCCTCAGTCACCCTTAAAATACATTTTTACAACAAGGTAACTTTGGAACTTTAAAATCATTATTACTTTTTCTCATTCTCCATACATTTCATTCCTGCAATGAGGTCTGGACAGCACTAAAGCATTTTTGGAAAGCTATCTTTTCACTGCTTGCCTCAAAGACCAAAGCCTGAAAAATAAATCATATTTCTTAAGAAAGAGTCTATTTACTGTAAGTTGAAGTCGCTGTGAATCTCTGCCTCACCCATATTATACTCAAAACTGCACACAGAATATTTGTTTTTCACGGCATTATCGAGAACCTCCCATTTCACTGCCAGCATCTACTGCTTTAATTCATCCACGATGCCCAAAGTGATACAAAGGATTATTTACTTCGTTTCTGAAACATTGCAAACTAACTTAGCTCACTTGTAACTTCATGCATGGTCTGTTCATCGCCACTGCATTTAACCAAATAAAATTTTGAGAATGTCTGGTTCATGTCAGAGTAATTTAGTTTTCACAACCATCTATCTTAAAAAAATATTGTACTTAGTTATCCTCCTAATGACGATCAGTTCGACAGAGTAATATACACACGCGCATTCCTTGAGGGAACAGAGAACAGACTATCTTTTATGCTCCGTGAACAATCAGCTTCAGAATAATTAAATCAGAAAGAACTATTTTTTAACTAGTTTGCCTGAACTAGCCTTAAAACCATCGAGGGAACACACTGCTTGAGGAAGGCTCAGCCCCAGTCAGGCTATTTCTGGCCTGTTGCAAAATGTGATCAGGAACTGTGGTAACACTTGATCACAACTCTGGACGATCGTGGAAAACACAGCCTCGGGAAAAACTTCAATCCCATCGTGGGCGAAAAACCTCAAGGTGTT